TGCTGCCCTGCAACCTGCTGTGTAATGGGTGGATGGAGCTCCCAGAAAATGGGTGAGAACATTCCCCTTGGTGTCAAATGGGACAAGCTTCAGCACAGCTGGATGTCAGCAGGGCAAACGCTCATTTAGCACGAGGCTTCGGGGAAGCATTTCACTTATTTAGACCCGTAAGGACCTCACTCAAAATATTTAGTTCGGTATTTGCCCTGTCTTGGGAGGGGAACAAACCTGTTCACATGTTGCATGGAGGCATTTCACAAACAACTGGAGTTCCCTGTGTTCACCCGCTGCTTCCTGGCTGCCACATGGCCGCTTGGTGACTTTGTCAGGTGTTTTGAAAGGTGGCTGCAGAGCGGAGCAAGGATTTTGAAAGCATATGTAGGAGGCCAGCTACTTCACTGCTGGAACAGAAATGGCTACAGTAAAATAACTAGATGAGAAGATGATTGCATTTATTTACAGAGATAAAACATACATTGGAGCTGATAAAACCTCTGAGTTGATTCAACAGAAAGCAGGATCAGGCACAGCATCTTAGGTCGTCTCTCCTACTAGATAAACTGTTCTCTTAAATTGCTCAAACGGTCACTTGTACGGTTTTGTCTCACAGCACACAGTGTTTCCCAAGTGGTTCCTGGGCACAGTGCGGGCAGTTGCGTGGGCTGGAAGCCCTCTGAGTGCCGTGGAGGCTGGAGGAAGCCTGGGAGCAGACCATGCCATGCCACACGGCCACAGCACTGGAGAGCCCCTCCAGAGGGCTTTAATGTTGCAGCAGAGATGTGGCCTTAGAGCAAGACTTGAGCTGCGGACAGGCAGAACAACACATGGCTTTAGGAAAGGTGTAACCCCTTCACAAGGGTAGCCCTGGCATAAGGGCAGACGTGCTGCCGCCGTCAACTGGGAGCCATGGTAGAGCGTGGGGCAGCTCTGTACACAGGGGCTCCCCAGCCGACCGCCCAGCAACTTGGCAACTCATTACACGAGCCAAAATGATGGTTCCCCAAGTTCCCTCAAAGCACAAATCCATTACTCTGAAATCCTGGTGATGGGCCGCCGTGGGCCATGCTAGCACCGTGGCCAGGCAGCAGCAGCAGGGACACCGCAGTGGTACCCCATGCCTGGTGCTGGGGGACTGGGGGTCATCTCTTCCCCGCTCCCTAACCTGTGCCCCTTTCGTGGACCTTCTCATGTCAATGGGGAGTTCAGCCCTGCAGAAGAAACCCTGGTGTACCCCAACAGTGTAGTTTGACCAACACAGTCATTTCCACTCCAGTCCAGATCTTGGAGTGTAAAATCCCCAAATCTTTATCTTTCTGGCCTAAACTTTTCCAGGTTAGATAAAGTTCTCGAGAAATCCATTTTGGTCTCATGAAGATGTTGGTGGCATTTTTGTCAGAACAGCAGCAGCAAATTACACACACACACATATATATATGGTTAGTGACACTTTTTCAGGGCTGTAGTTTGGAGAAACTGAGTAGTCTTGTAACTCTTCTGTTTGCATAACAAATTCAGAATGAGGGAACCACATGGTAGGATCCAAGTAATTGTGTTTACTAAATATGCACAGCATGCAAGGCCAGGCTTAGTTATATATACACACTGCTGCTCCAACAGGATTTTGGCAGCCTCCGAAACATACAAGGCATTGAGTGACTTGAATTGTACCCCCATCATCAAGCGGGAGTCTCAAACATGGAAAACGCACAGCAAACGAAGGCCAAGCTGAACATACGTGCATGCCTAATTCAGGGGGCTCAGGAGCGGGGAACAGCTAAGTAGAAGTACACCATAAATGAGCTTTTCCATTGCTGCCTTCCTACCTTCCAGGGCAAAAGCTGTGCGGATCCAATAGACCTTTGGAGAATTGCTCAGCTCTTTATTTTTTCCAAGATACATAGCAAAAAGGGAATTTCTGTTTACGTTCTCACAAAGTGACTAGCTAAATAATTCCAGATGATGGAATTTTCTTCTGTCCTTAAAGCAAAACAAAATCTTAACCTTCACCACTCTCTAAATGATATTAAGACTATGATAAGAAATTTTTATTTCAGCATTCAAAAAGTAGTTAATAACAACATAAAGTTGGAAAATAACCCTAACTCTGACCCTGTGTCCATGTGCAATACAGTCTTGGACTGTATGTTCATATGGTCTTTCTTTCGGATGTCTTCTGTTTTTCCCTGCAGTTTTTAGGTAACAGCTGTAGCAGTTTTAGGTAACAGCTGTAACAGCTTTTAGCATGTTATGGCTCTATGAATTCTTGAAAACTAGTTATATGGAAAGGGCACTATAAGCCTATTACTAAAAACATGCAATGCCCATATCAGTGAATTCTGAAAAAGTGGGAAGTAGTGATTTTTGTCCACTGTCAGGCCAAATATTTTTGTAGCTGATTTTCAGCCTGAGAATATGAAGTCACCCTTGCATCTTTTTCTTTACAGGATGTTGTAAAGAGAAAGAATGTTAGCTTCCTTTTTGTTAGCTTGGCAGATGAGCTGTTTACCACATTTTTTCACATGAAAAGAAACTGAGGAAAAAACAGCTTAAACAGAAGAAAAAAAATCTATGTGAAATTGTTGATTTTGATAAAAAAGTGTATTTTCCAAATGAAACAAAATGTCATCGTAAGTACAGCTATAATGATTAATGATTACAGGTGTACTTGTTTCTGTTTTTTGGACAGAAGTATAGATGGGAAGCTACATATGCCACTCCCGACATCATGTACTGTCTAGGATTTTATAATTTCAGAAAATATTTCAAAAGGAATACAACCTTTTTTTTCTTTTTTTTTTTTTTTTAAAAAAAAAGAATGCTAATTTAAAGTGAAATGCCATTGCACAGTATCAGCTGGAAAAGGAAAATGTCATGTCAACATACTTCACCACGGTGATGTACCTGAGTGAAAATATTTAGACTTTTTTTACACAATCAAAAATCTGCACACTAACTTCTATATGTTTAAACGTCCCTGTGAGACTTTTTTTCCGTATATCTCAATTATATATGGCATATGCACTTGAAAAATGTATGGGTATACTTCACATAGGTGTGTTAGGACATACTGGCATGTGCAAATGGCCTGGTATTGTTTGCAGTCCTGCTTCCAATACCTACACACTCATTTTGCCAGTATGTCCATCAACAACTGTACACAGTGTTTTCACAAAAAATGGGTCACATTTACATCCATGGTCTCTCTTTTTACTAACAAATATGTGATAACAGTACTTTTTTTTTTTCTTTCAAAGTTTTGTTACCAAAGCCCACTACATTTCTTTGCCGGGGAAGTATCAGGGTGATTTTAAAAGACTGTGAAAGTGTTAATACTTTTTGTATTGTGCTGTGCTTATCCTGAAGAAGGTACAGATGTCTTCCGTTTCTCACATTTTTCCCTGCGTCTTTCCAGCTTTCTCAGGGTGTTTTCATGAGGCAGACTCTATGTCATCCAATTATTTCCTGAAGAAAACGAGAGAGATAAGCCTTTGAAAACCGAGCCAGGACGCCAGATTTCTCTCACTGTATTAAATCATACTGATCAAAAACATAGAAAGATATAGAAGCACAAAATTAACAGAGGGACAGAGAGAGTGGGAAATGGGGATTCCTGGACGTAATATTACATGAGATGAGACCGTCCAATATCAAGTAAATTTATTTGGATGGGGAGGGAATTACTGGGTGTGTAATACTGATTAACTATGTTGGAGAGAGACCTTGCCAAGCAGCATGTTTTGGTCAGCCTCTTTGTAAAGAAGAATAGGAATGTAGGTAAAAGGTTAAATATATTTAAAAAAAAGTGCATCATTCCTCTTGTTAGCTAATCCTTGGGCATCATCTGCATGAACCAGAGTAGTACAGTTGTTCACTTCTGGGAAGCAGTCGGTCCCAGCTCCCATGACCAAGAGATTTCTCTCTTACTCTGTTAAAATGTTTGGAGGGATATTTATTGACATGAATGAGACTGTGCATAAATGTATCTGAGATCCTAAGTGTTTAGGGTTGTTTAAGCTCCTTATACTGCAAAGACATAGTATGTTTTAATGCCATATCCACTGAAAAACACTTGCCTGAGGAAAAGATACCAGGTCATAGGTCAGACTACGGGAAAAAAAATATATTGTCTATTAAATCCAGAGTCATATCATTTTTCCTTTTCTACTTAGGCACATGAACAATAGTTTGAAATCCAAAAAAGGCTTTAAAAAATGTCTAATACACAGAGCATCCCTAATTACATTTCTTCCCAGCATGAGACTTTGTATGCCACTTCAGCCCGACAAGACCCGACTCCCAAGTTGGATGAACTCTGGAAGTGTTTCTCGCTGCTATGCACCCCTCTCACAAAAGTGTTTGAGCAAGCTATAAAACAATACACAAATCACCAAGCACTCTGGTGGGGAGGCCTCGTAATTTCAGGCTGTTTGGGAGATGAGTATCAGTCAATTTAGGGTATTACCAGCAAACCAGAAAACAGTTTTGAAAGAGGCTTGTATAAGGCAATAAAGGCACACATCAGCTCTTTAAATAGGCAAGAGGCTCTGGGGGAGCATTTCTGCATGACCATGGAACTGTTTTATCATAAGTTTCTTCAGAAAGTCCTCAGGCTTTTAACTTTACTTATGACTATCCTTTGCTTCATCAGGCTATATTTAGATGGATAATTCACAGCTCTTTCAAGCTATAGCTGTTTGTAGTAAAAGTGAAATTAAATCATCCCTGTAGGACTTCGGTCTTTGTGAGAAGGATCAAGGGGCTGTGATGAAGCACCTCAGGGAGATGCCCTCCTTTCCCTGCTGGCACAGAGCCCCAGGCAGCGTTTCAGGGGCTGTCCTGCGCCTGTCTTCTGGGGAATCTCCTGATCTCCAACATGCATCAGAAATCCAGGTGCCTGGGTGAATATCCACATGACTCCACCTGCATATATTTTTTTTCCCAAAAAATATACTGATAGCTGGGATGTACTTGGTTATTATGGAATATAATATATTTTTCAGATGCTGCTCTTAATTAACAGGGAAGAGACCGACACTGAGCAAGTGCAGCCTGATGAGTCAGCAAGTAAAGCATGCCCACCTGTGTGCGTGTGAGTTTGGTACTCAGGAGGGCAGGGCAGCCAGAGACCTAGGCAGTCCTCCATGCAGTGCGGGTTGGTGCTCAGCAAGCTTCCCGGGGGACCGCTTTGCTCACGCCTGGGCTCAGACCCTCAGCATCCCTCCATCCTGGGGGTGCCCCTTGTCCCTGCAGCACAGCAGCTGCAGGAGACCAACATGCAGCCCCTAGAGCTAGGGGTCAACCTGCCTCCAGCCTTTCCATGTGTTACCTAGGCCAGAAATTCCCATGTGTAATACAGGAGGCAGCTTAACTTTGCCCCGCTTTGACACTTTGAGTGGATACACAGTCTTTTCAATTTGCAGAAATCTCCGATATGTTACAAATCACCAGTTTTGAGGGAAACCCATTAGGGACATCACCAAGTGAAAAAGATTGGCATTGCACCACTTGTGATGTTGAAAGTCAAAAGGTTCTCCCCAGTAAAATGATAAAGCAATTCTTAAAGTAACAAAGCCTTGACATCTCCTTCCTAATGCCATATACTCTACCTACTGCAGGAACAATGCTCACTCAGAGCATATATTTTGGCTAGCAAAAATCCTGTGTGCTTTAATATTATTTATGTCTGTTTTTCTCCAGAGGTCTTTTTGGTCAGGATTGTGATTTATGTTGTTTTTACTCCAGCTATGCAGGAGATTCTTTGACGGATTATGATCTCAGTAAACTCCAACTCGAGAAGAAGAATGACAGCTAAGAGACTTAAACCAGACTTTTCACCATCCTGGAAAGGAACTGGCTGCCAGTATTTGGAGTTTTTTTAATACTCTACCTCCCTCTGCTGTTATCAGCGAGAAGTTCCTCGACAATGGGAAATCATGTACTCGCGGCTTCGATTTCCATGCTCTCACTCCTGGCGATGATGGGAGATGCGGACAGTAAAACAGACAGTTCCTTCATGATCGACTCTGACCCCAGCCGCTGTATGAGGCATCACTACGTCGACTCCATCAGCCACCCCCTGTACAAGTGTAGCTCGAAGGTAAGGACTTCCCTCACCCCTTCACAGCAGGGTGCTGCATTGTCAGAGTTGTTAAAATGAGCCATTTGGGGTGATTTTTATCTGCACAAATTCCTTGCTACCAAAATCCAGCTGCAGAGACATACAGATGTTGAGACATCTGCGTGTGTACATCAGAACTGGGGCTGGAGAGAAAGGCTCTTGAGTCTCTCTTCAGTAGTTCAAAGGGAAAAACACACCACGATGGTAAAGCTAACATGCAGTGAATGATAAGATTCAAAGGAGCACATTGGGGTCTCAGCCACCAGCACCAAGGAGATGGGCTGGTTTGGAAGTTTAGATCATCCCAGTCACCCCTTCCTTCAAGGGAGTCTTTAATCCAGAGTATGTAAACTTATAACTTTCGAGGTCAAGTACTGAGATTAAGAATCAAGCTGTAAAATGGTAATGAAAAAAGAATGTGAAAAACATTGTTCATTTTTTTGTCCCTATTTAATTTCAAGGCCTTTGTTTTCACGCAGAATGTCAATTGGATGTTTACTGTAGGGCTTAGGAGCACAAGGAAATACAAGATTGCCTTTCATTTGAGATTTCAAGCCTGAAAAATTTGTTGTGTCAAAATGGTTTAGCAGCCTGTGTATGTAGCCTACAGTTATTTATTTCATTGTGTGGAGAAAAAGAATGGGGAGAAACAATGGGAAAATCCTTGCTGGTCCCTTTCGTCTTCTTAACTTGTTCCGGCTGAGTTCACCCAGTGCATATTCAGATGTACCGTCTCCGCTTGGACCATCCCTCTGTCCTGCAGAAAGTGGCTTTGCCTTATGCACCCACATCCCTGGGTTAACAAAAGGGACCAACAGGCAGTGCCAACACTTTTGCCAGCCCTGTGTTGGGTAAGAGAGCGACGGGAGGTGGGTGGGAGATCAGAGGCTTTTGCCCTGCTGCTCTTGGGTTCAAACAGTAAAATCATGCGTTTCTTGTGATCCAGGAGAGATCTTTTGTTTTGCTCTTAGCCTAGACTAGACCTTCTTACCATCTGGGAAACATCCAGCATTAACATACAGACCTGCAGAGATGCATCTGTTTGTGCAATATTGATTTTATTGCAGTTGACTCCAGCGTGAGGCAAAGGTGAAAAGTGTGGGCGGGGTGGGTGGTTTTTATGTCCTGGCAGGGGTTGCTAGCAGCCCTCCCCTCCCATGGCAATTCAGATCACCTGTTACACCTGAGAAGCCATAGCTACCATGACGGTTTGGTCCAGGAGGGCGATACTCCACCCAGCTGGCCCCCACTCTCGGCTCCCCGCGCTGCCAGAGAGCAGGAGTAGCTGCGGTACGTAACATAGGCAAGATGGTAGGTGGTCCCCAGAGGCCCTTTTGTCTCCAGGCTTGGGTAGGATCCCCCTTTGCCCCTCTACACGCAGAAGAGCAAACAAGTAACAAGTGGTGACTTCACTAGGGCGGTGAGAAACGCAGAGTATAACTGACGTAGGCACACTGCCTCAGACAAAAGAGGATAAACACAACAGGTCCCAGCCCAGCCCCTGAGGCAGTTCAGTCCTGGAGGATGAAGGACGGGGCTTCTCTTGTCCTGGTCTCTCCTCTCCTGTGGGCGATCACCCACCCACCTCCATTCCCCAGTTGCAGCAGGTTCCCACAGCACGGTTTGGCCTCCTCTTGGCCCCACATCACTGCCAGCTCTCCAGCGGCCACCACCACAGCCAGCCCCTCCTGTCCTCAGGCCAGCCAGGCACTTGCTGTGAGGCTGCTGCCCCTGCGCTCCCAGACCCGTGGCTCCACATGCTCCTGCCTGCCCTGCAGTCAGCCCGTGCCTCACCTCCGGCCGTGCTTTTCTTTCCTGCTCAGGACATTGCTTCCCACACAGCCCAAGGAGGGAAGAAAGGAAGGAAAGAAGGAAGGAAGGAAACCCAACAACAACTCAACTTCTTAATATCCCTAACGACAGAGAAAAGCAATCAGGCCTTTAGGAGTGAGACTGATGGAAATGAGAACAGGGAAGGCATTGTAATTAAAACCATATTATTTCAAAGCTGAGCTTTGAGAAGAAAGCTGTTGACATAAACATTTGTAACTCTGACTGCAAAAATGTCAGTGACTTTTTTTAAATCAAGCCTTTAATGGAAATCATGTTTGAAAATATTATCACATCTCTTGGCTTCCCAAATTCCACAACTTTTTCAAGAACAGTTTTTTAGCAATACTGCAAGTTGTATGGACTTTCTCGTGAAGTGGAAAATGAAAACGGTTTCCACACAAAGTGAAATAATTTTAACATTTCCTAGAAAATTTCTGTTTGTTAAATCAAGCTCTTTTTTTTAAGGTCTCAGGGATCTGAATCATCCTGCTAGACATATGGCTTCTGTTCTGGATCTAGCATATAAACACAGACCAATATTAGACTTGCTAATGAAAATTAGACACAATGTCTGTTCCTATGCATATTGTGATAAAATATACACAAGTCAAAAAAAGGAAGGTTCTGTGCGAGTAGCTGTGGGAATTGTGGTACCTCTTGTTTCCACCGAGTTTCCATTGTGAAGCTAGCACTGACAATTGATGTCAAGCAGAGACTTTGCCCTTTTTTGGCATGATATATTGGTTCCATCGAGGCATCCTTTTTCACTCCGTATGTTTTCCCTTTTAGTGCAGCATAAAATGACAGAAGTTAAAAATGGCTTCAGAAATTGCAAGATGTATTACATTTGCTGTCCGTCTTGGTTAAAAAAGGATTATGTTCACCGTGCTTCTCTGTGAAGGCTGCCAATTGTACCCACATGGGAAGTAGTTTTGTTACATTTGGAAACATCCACCCAATATAATTTAATCATTTAAATCCCTCTTGCTTGTGACTTCAGGCAGATGTTGAAAACAGGTTTCCAAAGCCTTCGGAAACATAGTCCATTATAGTAACAGACACAAAGGAGGGACAGAAGGTCATTTGTTCCTGAAAAACAGTGTTTTCCTTTGACTTCAAGGAAATGTTTGTGGCAGCTTATGAGGTACTGCCTTTCCTGACCGTACTGGATTCTGCATGACCTCTGTCACAGAGACCCACTGGTCTTCCATGTGCTGGATCACCTTGCTGCTGAAACCAGGGCCTCCTAAATTACAATATCGGCTGTCACAAGTGCTTCCTCCAGATGTGCCAGAAGAGTGCTACCACTGACAGCCTCGCACTAAAGAATCCAGCCCAGAGAGACACGGACCAGATGAAGAAAGATTTAGCAAATGTCTGATTTGCTCATGAGGTAGCTCAGGAGATTTTCAGTAATGCCTGCTCGCAGCCAGGCCATGGATACTGTGTGAAAATCTGTTCTCATGCATCTCAGCCCATCTGCTTTTGGGCCTCAGCTTGTTCCTGAAGAGGACTACAAACACGGTTAATATCAAACCAGTTCACAACTTCTGAATTTCCAGAAAACAACTCAAATGATCAGAGTCAAATATTACCTCAGATTCAGGTTGCTCTCTTTTGCGGCCGTTCAGATACCTATGAGACTGTTGACTTTAAGTAAGGAAATGTATTTTTCCCTAGCTGCTCATACACGTGAAACCCCCCCACAGGTCCCACATTGTAGCACGCCGTGCTTCCGGATCCAGCATCGCAAGGTGACATGCACAGGCTCACATGTGTGGGGGACGAGGGGAGTCAAGAGGCACACATATCAGGTTATAAAACACCCACACATTTTTACTATATATATACCCACTGTATTACTGTGCTATGCCGTCATAGCATTACTAATTATTTAGGCGATAATCTCTATTGCGCTATAGTATACAATGCAATAAGCAGCTGGTGCGATTGACTAAATGGCAAAGAAAAGATTTTAAAGTACATGCTATTTCAGCTCATTTGCACACCTACCAAAATCCACTGGTGCTGTTCTGGATTTATGAGGAGGTTAAATTTTGCTGAGGACTTCAGGTTAGCCCAGAAGTTTAGAAAGTTATCACAATGGGAAATCTGAAAATTTTTTATCCTGCAAGTTTGACTTGATTCCCATGGTGCTGTGCCATTTGTAAAAATTCACACTCTCATCCAAAAACAGGGCATAAAACCAACACTGTGTAATTTTACATTATATGAATACTGACCGTACTTTTATGAAAAATTAAGTAGCCAGCAAAACTTGAGATTAAAATTAGAGCCTCCACAAAATAAAACAGGTTTTAAAGACAAGGCTTGCTGAGCAATTATAAATGCAGTTGCACATTGAAGAAATATTAACTGTTTTTTTCATTAGAAAGCTTGCTGTTCATAAGAATTGTATTCAGACACAGATATTGGCACGTCAGAAAATTCTGCCTTATAATTACACTGTTGCACTGTAGTCCTTAATCCTGTTCCTTGGGGGTTGGATTGGGTTTTTTTGCTGGCATTTCTGAAAGTACCTGCAGATATAGGAGCAGATGTGTGCCATAAAAAGTCCTTAGGGTAACAGTAACAGAAGTGACTAACGGTTCCAGCTCCAGAAGCATCAACCATAGAAGTTATCTCCATCATACAGCCATGTGTGCTGTCACATTTGGGCTGAAATCACAGAATCATAGAAATGTTGGTTGGAAGGGACTCTGGAGGTCCTCTGAACCTCTCAAAAAGCAAATTGTGGCCATTGCATGTCCCCTGTTGCCACTCCTGAGGAGTGTTTGGCTCTGTTGTCTTTGCAACTCCCCTTTGAGCAGTTGCCAGCTGCCATTGGATTGCTCCTCACCCTCCTCTTCAGCCGAACACATGGGAATAGCCTGTGATGGAGCGTGCTCACAGTGTGGTGAACTGGTCAAAGTGGGGGACCTAACAAGAGCTGTCAAGATGCCGGGAAGGAAACTAACTTTTTAAAATGTCCCAATCTGCTGCCCTTCCTTTGCAATACAGGCGGATTAGATACCGGTGTAGCTCTTCACCAGCTGCCTGCCTGTCACTATGGGAAGTGAGATTTGTTTAGCAGGGGAGAAAAGTGGATCTTTATCTGTCAGTAACAGGTTGATAGCACTGTAATAATTGTCCCTTTCCCTTTTCTTGTATACACTAAAGACGCTGGTATTAAGGAGCTTGACATAGCTGATAATGTTTAAAGCCGGGGTGTGGCTCAAAAGTACATTGAAATTTTCTTCCCAACATATTACTACTAACAGCTAAAGTGAAATTGCTTATGAATAGGCAGCATCACAGGAAGGGGACCCTAAATTTATGCTACAAATCATGAAGGATGGTAAATTTATTGGAGAGCCACAAGAACCCATCTCTTAATTAAACCAAGGAACAAGATAGTACCAACCCCTGATCATCAGCTCATGAAGACATCTTCCTTGTGATCTTGACTGAAGTGTACTTGTTAATATATTAGTACATTTCCAAGCAAACCATTTAGCATGCAAGTACTCTCGGAAAAGCCGTTTTTAAGCACTGTACAAAGTATGTTGTTTATGGATGATCAGTGCCTTTCCCATGGACACAGGCAGTGTTGGTATTTCCTAATTTATACCAGGAATATTCTATCTGTCTTTCTCTCTCATCTTTCCTCATGACTCTGACTAAAGAGAAAATTAAACATTTGACACACCTGCTTGGAAGACTTGGTGATTTACAGCCAATAGATCATGTGTAGTGAAAGAAGCTCAGAAGTGTTTAATGCTGTAAAATATTTGCTGTCTCATTTGTAGTTATCCTTTTAGATTGTCTGGAAAAACCATAAGATATGGGCAGCATGGTTAAAATGTAATTTTATTCCTTGATTATAGGATAGACTTACTACTGTTTTACTGCCTACTTTCTCTCCTCTGTCACATTTTGACCTTGTTGGGATGACACAATAAGTTGATTTTGAAGTTTGTGTTGGTTAATGAGAAATAGCTGATCTGCACTTAAATAATATTTCATTCCCCATGAAGGCATAAGAGTTTGTTTAAACTTGTCCAACACTTAGCTGTTACCAAGGTGATAACAGCTGCTTCTAACCACATGATTTCCTGAGCTTTAGAAGATCATTTCCATATTTTCTATAGAGCTTAGGAGACTCTATCCATCACCTCTGCTCAACAAAGGGTCGTTGGGAAGGGGAGTAGGTGACGCCCCATGAGCTTTCCTTCCTTAGTGCCTCCCATTGTGCAAGTTACCTTGCTTGGGTCACAGCTCAGTCGGTGAACTCAGGAGAGGAACCATGGAGCCTGCACTGCTTGTGGAAAATGTCATTAGTGAGCCCTCATGTTTGGCAAGCAGATAATCTTGTTTACATTTTCACTGCCTTACACTGTACAGTGCTTTTTATACAGATATAACTGATGCAATTATATATATATACACACACATATAATTGCAAATACATATTCAAGGTGATCTTTGTAAAAGAAGCTAGAAACTTACTTCTTTAGAAGCAACAGACTGAGCATCTTCTTTACATTTCTACTTTATATGTTTATATATCTAAGCATTTGAGACATTCACTGGCCCCGAGGATCAGTTCTGCTGATCACTAGTATACACTCAAAGTGTTGGAAAGTATCCAAATGAAGTATAAGTCTGGCTGATGATTTAAGGGCTTGGCTGCCACAAATCTGGGGTCAGCAAGTCACAGTTGCAGTCACTGTGCCTGGAAAGCAGAGCTGGCTGTGATCGTTTGGAGCCCTGAGGTCGGCTTTCAGAAAACTAGGCCCTGTAGTCCTTATCGGTGTTGGAACCTGGGACTCCGGGAGGAGACTCGCTTTTCCTCCTGCCCATGTTACCTCCTCTGCTCTCTCAGACACAGCTCAGGAGCAATGCACTGTGTGGGGCTGGGTGCCCTCGCCGAGGTGTGGAGACACAGTAAGTGAAGAAAGACCAGCCAGACTGGAAGGAGGTACCCATCTGCCAGTGTTAGCTGTGTGCTGGCAGCCTTGGGGCATCTTTCCTAACCCATCTCTCTTCCTTTACAGATGGTACTGCTGGCTCGCTGCGAAGGGCGCTGCAGCCAGACGTCACGCTCGGAGCCGATGGTTTCTTTCAGCACTGTCCTGAAGCAGCCTTTCCGCTCCACCTGCCATTGCTGCCGGCCCCAGACCTCCAAACTGAAGGCCATGCGGCTGCGATGCTCGGGGGGCATGCGGCTCACTGCCACCTACCGCTACATCCTCTCCTGCCACTGTGAGGAATGCAACTCTTAGGGACGTACCTGCCACAGCAGAGTGGGGGACTGGGATGCTGCTGTTGGGGAAGGCTCCCAAGAGGTAACCCGAGGTGAGGCCGACGCTCCCAGCATACAATTGCAGCGAGGATGGGACTAACCAGGCTGGATTGGATCTGAGAGCTAAAGCATAAAATATCCTGGGGCCTTGGATGATGCCGGTACCGAAGCGTGGGCTGTGACAAAGGTGAAAGCACAAGGACTTGTTTTTAAGAAACCTTTCTTTTTTTTGGAAAGGATATTTTTGTGAGTTCCTTCTTTTTCAGGCTCAGCTCTGACTACAGAGAGGTGCTTTTACTTTAGGCCAGGGGCAGCAGGGGAAAAGAGAGGAAGGTCAGCTGGATGACGGCACTGCACTCTGGAAGTTGGCATTTGGACAGAGGATGGACATCAGTTCCCACATACAACCTCTTAACCTATCAATTTATTCTCAGTCTCCTAATTATACTGGCCTTCAAAACAAACTGTGTTGTTGGCAAGGGTTATCTGTTACTGATCTAGCAGCCAAGTGCTGGATAACATTAACTGTGGTTTAGCAGAAATTACAAATAAATCATTGAAAAGTGAACTGGATATGAAATGTCACGCTAGGATTACTCAGCCCTATCCAGCTGAAATGATTATTTGCAGCGTGCAGCATCAGAGCTCAGTGACTGAGCGACTCCTGAGAAGTGAAAGGTCATGAGACTCATTATTCCCCTCTAAAAGCCTGGAAATGTGACACACCACATCTGTCACAAAAGTCATTACTCAAACACTGAAAACTAATATCAAAGATTAAAATGACATCTACTAAATGGAGTCTTTTCTTAACTTGGGTAGACCTGTTGATGTACAGAGCCAGAGCCACCACAATATGACCAAACCTAGGACTTATTTTCATCTATAGCTCTTAGGCCATGAGGCATCATTTTGCCTTTTAAAGGCAGGCAATCCCAGACACAGGGGAATCACACTGATGTGCCCATGGGAAGTTCAAGACAGAGTTTGAGTCCCAGCATTATCCACTGGAGCACAAAGGTTGTGTTTTGATTTACCTCATGATCTGCTACCTGGAGTCTTGGTCAACTCACCATCTTGGCAGCTGCTTGGGGAATGGCACAGCTCTTGGCTGGTCCATAAGCCTATGCATCCTTTCTGCACACACAAGGATGTAGGCAGCTGTGGTGGGGTTAGCACGAGCCCAAACCTTATCCGTAGGTGAAGCTGTCCCACAGCGAGGACATCAGAGCTGCAGGGTCCTGCAGAGCAGGGGTAGCCAGCACTTCTCAGTAAGAAGCAAGTGAGGTCATGAGCTGCTTTCGCCTGTAGGACCACTGCAGAAAGAAATGCCTTGAGGAGCTGAATGAATTGCAGTGATTGATAGGGTGAAAGAATCTCAAAATAACAAAGGATCCCAAGTTTTGGAACGGTATTTGCAGAGAAACTCTGTCCCTCATCCATTAACATGAAGTTTTAGGAAGGTTCAGTCATAGTCTCTTGTGACTGCAAGGAATCAACACAACGTATCACAGTTCTCATCTCCTTAAATAGCAGTATATCCAGTCAGTCAGCAATATGTCTGTGATGTCCACATAAACCCAGATAAGCCATTTTTTTTATAGAAGTCATGAAGATGTTGAGAGCATCTTTGCTGTGTAAGGATTCAGAGTCAGTGCACTGTCTACCCCTCAGTAGCATCCACGTGCGTAGTCCCATGGTTATTCTCTGGGACAGGCTGGAGCGGCTGCCCTGCACAGCAATGTCTGGCAGGCCCCATGGTAAGGAGGGGAAGTCCTATCCAAGCCCAGCATTTGGTCCATCTATTCAGTGCCATCCAGTCTGTCTGCAGCAAATGCCATACGCAGCAGCTCGAGGATGCACACTGACGTTGCAGGGGATCCCCAAGGTCTGCCAGGGAGGCCAGTCATCCTGTGGTCTACACAGGAGTTACTGTGGCTGCTCGGGCAAAGCCAAATTGCTTTGCCACTGCCTCCTCATGGCAAATACGTATGCGATGTGAAGGTAGGCAGGTGACGGACACTGGCCTTGCAAGCCAAATCCTGGAGCAGGATGGCAGTCAGTAGTGGAAAGCGATGGGGGACAGGTACACCCGCCAACACCAGTTAGAGAGGTTTCTGATACATGGGAAGTACTGTCTGTCTCTTCCAGAGATGACTTGAAGACGGCCAGTTTTCAACAACACAGAGCTGTGGGCAAACAAAAGGGTGAATCGAACTGTTAGAAGCTGAGGGGCTCAGATTAAAATGTCAAAACTAGGACTGATGAGCTCCAGTAAGCTCATTAGACACCATGTGTTGTTTCAGCACTGTCAGTCATTCTTTTCACATCTGATGCATGGTTTGAACATCAAAGGGCGAGCGAAGGGAGCATGAGCCGGGCATTAACACCAGACTACTTTACATATGTGCGTCCCTTTTCCACTCTTTTTCAACCTCCAGCATCTAAAAATCCCATTATCCAAAAAAGCACCACCCCCTACTGTTAATTATATATAGAAAAATTCCAGTCCTTATCCAAAACATCAGCAATACCTTTGATAACCAAATAACTACACTGCAAAATATGCATGACCTCTAAGCGTGGGTATAGAGACTGCTGCACACAAGCAATGCTATGCAGTTATCTAAGAAATGGGGAATGTTTGAAGGGTAACTGCTATATCCAGCATCACCTCCCCCCGGGTCATGCTGCCACTGACCTCCTTTGCCAGTGCAAAAGGGGATGCCGGAGGGCTGTGACACGAAATTGGGGTGATGATTTTCGGCGGTCCTGCACGGCTGGAAGTGGATCTGCTGGCTGGATGGGACGTGGCAGAGCAGCGTGGCCCCGATCATGGTCCTCTGGTAAGGAGAGAGGAGGGGTATGAGCAGAGACCACACCTGACCTGATTTAAAAAAAAAGAGAATATTTATAGTGAGAGAAGAGCTTGGCTGGTATTTATTCCCACATCCCCTCACTATCACAGTGCCAGAGCTATAATTGCTCAAATCGGTCTCACAGAAGATATTCTTGTTTCAACAAAAGCTTTTTTTTCCCCTCTCACACCCCACATTCCTTCCACTTTTGCTCAGTTCCTCTAATGAAATCATCGCCTTGTGACCGCAAAGGCTGTTGCCAGGCATAAATGTTGAGGTGAATTCAACGTTATCTAATTTAACTGTTGAGTCGAATAAATGCATGAAATCATGAGTGACAAGACGAAACATACTTGTAAATAGCTAGAACTGGATATTAAACAATGAATCAAACTTTCAAATTCTCCTTTTGGCTTTGTCAGGCAATCTTCATATTAACATTTAAGAAAAAGGAGGAGCTATTCTTCAAAACCAAATGGTCCAAAGTCAGTTATAAATCCATATTTTGATACTTTTTATCAGTACTTTGGGCAACTAAGTGCTGAATCAAGCACACAAGTGCTACCCGTGTTAAAATTCAGGAGGCGTATTGAAGCAAAAGAAACTGAGGCTTCAGGTAAAAACTAGAGGATATGGCTCAGGGTGAGAAAGAGTCTAAATGTCACTTGGAGATGAAATGGCTTCCTGATTACTTAGCCTGACACCACTCTGGATACTTAGGCTCTGTTTTTCAAGTCAGGCTACTGTGTAAGTGTTTCTTAAATTGAACAACAGGGAGGGCAATGTCTAGTTGTCCAGATAATGTTGTGGGTCTTTTTCTTTGCTAAAGCATCCTCTCACTGGGAATTGACTGTGATGGCTTTCTCCTTTTTTCCCCTCACTGCACCTCACCCTTCAAGCACCATCTTCCCTCACAGAAAGGTTGATTCAGCTGTGACCATCCTGTGGTTTGCTCAAGATGAGATGTGATACAGACTTTCGACCGTCACCACCCCACACCCTCTTTTCTTTTAATTAAGTTTCTGAGTCCAGTCTGACTTACTTTTGAAAGCCACTCGTCCCAGCAGTGGTGGTGGTACATTTCAGCTGGAGGGATTGCACTCACGGAGACCAGAGGGAAACACTAGACCTTTGCAGGTACCTTTTGCTTGTAAGAAAAGCCTTATAATGCCAATGCATTTTGTGCCTATCGGAAATAATCTGTGATTTGCCAGCGTAAAAGAGCCCATGACCTAGAAAATGTTAATTATTCTGCTCCCAGCTTCAGTGGGCCTGTTAAGCACTTAAAGCTGCATAGATACAAAAATGGTTTGCTGGTTCAAGCCTCATATGAATCATACAACTGAAGAACTCACTGCTTTCTTGGAGGTGTTGCCACTGACTTTCCTTACACCTCACCTTGCCCTCTGAGCTCGGAGAACTTCTACCAGACAAGCGATCCTGAGTGTGGCTGTCTCCCGGTAGCCTTTATCAGGGCTTTTGTAAACTACTGGCACAGTGGTCATGGCAATAATGGAGAGGTGAAGTTTGCTGACATCCATGGTACACCACAGCCTGTGCTGGCCCTTCACGTGAGCCTTAGTTGAGACCTATTCCCCAGGTCCTTGCAGATCTACCATGAAGCCCTGAAACTCAGGCAGGACTATATGGATTGCAGCCAGAATATTTTTGTGAAAGAAGAGAAAAATAAAAGTTGAGAGGTTACTGTCTCATAGGAATAGTCCGATGCCCTGCTGCGCTGTGTGTCTAACGCCAGTTCTAAGGACCTGATATGAGAAAAGAGATGCCCCTGATCTCCCTCCTGCGGGTGAGTGGTTTTTCAGTGCCTATTCCTACATATTTAAAGATAGTGGTTTCTTTTACTTAATTTGTCTGAAACAGGATTAAACCCTCTAGGAAAGAGAGTTCTGCTTAGCAAGAAATTTTTCTTCTGCCTTGGACCATAAGTATTTTTGAAAAATCCAAATGCCATAAAAAGGTCAGTGTAGGAGGGGGTGGGTAGGAGGGTGTGTCTTACTTTCTTTGACTCTGTAGTTATTTAAAATACAAGGGCTGTGGAAAAAGAGAAAAAGATGATATCGAGGGTAAAAGTGAAGACTGACAGCCTTCTAAGGTAGATTGCGTTACGGCTAACAGGTATTGAGACAGATAATCTTACAAAAGTGCAGCAGGCTGTGTTGGCAAGTAGCAGCCCAGTAAGTTTGCTGTGTTGCACATGTACAAACAAGCTGGTTGGAAATCCAGAGAGTAAGTCTATCCCTTTTATTTTGCAAGCAAGGAGTCACAATCTTTATTTATGGTTCAAAAGAGGTACAGGTAATCACTAGTCTGAAAACTATGTTAGTAAGCAGGCTAATGCACTGGAAATGGTTCTTGGTGGTATTATGACATGAAGAAGATGCTTTATGTACATCACGATACAAAGGATCAGAGTTCACTAATGAAAATAAGTAATCTCGTTTGGCCTGCACAAAGAATGTATATTTCAAAATGTTTTGTTTCGCTTTTTTATTTTTAACATACCATTTGGGAGTGGTCTAGGAATCAAAAACGTGTGAAAAGACAAAAGGACATCTATCATTTGTCTCAGTCAGAATTAATACTTCCTTTAGATGCTAACCAACAGTACATCCCATGAAAATGAAATATTAAAAACAGTTAATCACATTCCCAAGTAATCCACATACATTAATCTGATCTTTTTTCTAAG